CTGAGCAGGATGGACAGAAGGCGCTGGCGCAGCTCCCGCTCCCGCCGCTGCAGCCCGAGCGCGCGCTCCTTCTCCTCCTCCACGCGCCGCAGCTCCGCCTCCTGCAGCCGCCGACGCTCCTCTTGCCGCGCGCGCCGGCGCCGCTCCTCGCTCTGCTCGCGCTCCTGCAGCCGGGCAGCCTGCGGACAGGGCGGAAAACCGGAGGCGGCACTGTGAGGCGTCCTCGCGGGGACGGGGAATGGGGGGCAGTGGAGGCCGCGTCCACGTACGGAGCCTGTGCGCGTGGACTGTGCAGGGAGCACGTGGAGGGTGGGAGTGTCCGAGTGGAGAAGGTGCGTGGTGACCGTGTACACGGAGACGCTGAAAATGCACATAGACAGCGTGCACGGCGCGTATGCCTACGGACAGCCAGCAATCAGTGTGCGTGCGTGGCGCGTGTACTATGGGGAGCATGCATGGACAGGAGCGTTCACACGGACGGTGCATGCGGATCTCAGGAGTCCTGGAGGCCGAGGCCTCCCCAATCCACCTGCGCCTTCGCGTGTCGTCCTGGGTGTCCCCACCTCCCCGTGCGTGTGCAGCGGCCCCTCCCGCCCGCCCCGCCCTCAGCCCGCACCTTGGCTCTGCTCAGCAGCTCGGCGACGAGCCGGATGGACTGCAGGTTGCGCTGCGCCAGCAGCAGTTTCCGCTCCTCCAGCCGGATCTTCTCCTGCAGCCGCCGCTGCTCCTCAGCCTGCAGCTTCTCCAGCTTCTTCTGGCTGCGCCGCAACTCGCGGTCCCGCTGCCTCTGCTCGCGCCTGCGCAGCTTCTCCTCCCGCTTCCGCTCGCGCTCCAGCTCCTCCAGCTCCTTCTGCTTCCTGCAGATGGCTGGGTCAGGGGCTGTGCACACAAACACACACACACACAAACAGACACACACACACCGACACACGCTCACACCCCAAGTGCACAGCCCACCAGCCCGGTACCACGCCCCCTCCCCGCCCCCTTCCACCCCACCTCTCCTCCGCGCGCAGCCGCTCCTCAGCCTCCTTCTCCCTCCGCTTCTGCTCCTGGCGCTGCTGCTCCAGCTCCTGCAGCTTCTGCCGCTCCAGCTGCCGCTTCTTGATGGACGCATCGCTCAAGTGCTTGGTGGAGTCGAACGAAACCTGCGAGGCGACCAGGACGTTGAGAGCCACAGACTGCGCGGGCGGCGGGAGAAGGGGCCCGCGCACACGGAGTTGGCCTAAGGCCACCGAGTGCTCAGTGTCACTCAGTGTCACTGTTGTGCAGCCATGTGATGCTGGAAAGTAGTCGGAATTATCCTGATCCTGACCCCGAACGTTGGCCGTGACGCCTAAGCCTCGTCCTGACCCCAACCCTGGTCCTCACCCCTAATCGTGGTCCTGACTTCAGAGCCTGGTCCTAACCCAGAACTTGGTCCTGAAACCTGCTCTTGGTCCCGACCTCTCAGCCTGCTCCTTGACCCCAAGGCCTGGACCTGAATCCTGAGCCTGAGCCTGACCCCAGAGCCTGGTCCTGACCCCTGATCCTGACCCCAGAGCCTGGTCCTGACCCCAGACCTTGGTCTTGACCCCTGACGCTCATACTGACCCCGGAGCCTGGTCCTGATCTCCTGAGCCTGATCCTGACCCCTGAATCCTCTTCCAGACCCCAGACCTTAGTCCTGAAACCTGATCTTCATCCGGACCTCTCAAGCTGGTCCTGACCCCAAGGCCTGATCGTAATCCCTGGCCCTGGTCCTGACCCCGGAACCTAGTCCTGACCCCAGATCCTGGTCCTGACCTCCTGAGCCTAGTCCAGACCCCAGAGCCTGGTCCTGACCCCGGAGCTTGGTCCTGACCTCCTGAGCCTGGTACTGACCCCTGGGCCTGGTCGTGACCCCTGATCCTGACCCCAGAACTTTGTCCTGAAACCTGATCCTGGTCCTGACCTCTGAGCCTAGTTCTGACTCCAGACCTTGGCCCCGACCACTGATCCTGGTCATGACCCCAGACATTAGTCCTGAAACCTATCTTGGTCCCCACCTCTCAGCCTGGTCCTCACCCCAAGGCCTGGTCCTGAATCCTGAGCCTGAACCCAGAGCCTGGTCCTGACCCCTCATCCTGACACTGACCCCTGAGCCTGGTCCTAATCTCCTGAGCCTGGTCCTGACCCCCAGACCTTATTCCTGAAACTTGATCTTGGTCCCCACATCTCAGCCTAGTCCTGACCCCAAGGCCTGGTCCTGACGCCTCACCCTGGCCCTGATCCCTGATCCTGGTTCTGACTGCTAGACCTCAGTCTTGACATCTGACCCTGGTCCTGACCCCGGAGCCTGGTCCTGACCTCCTGAGCCTGGTCCTGACCCGAGACCCTGATCCTGACCCGAGTCTACTCCTGACCTCTTGAGCCTGGTCCTGACCCCAGAGCCTAGATCTGATCCCAGATCTTGGTCCTGAAACCTGATCCTGGTCCTGACCTCTGAGCCTAGTCCTGACTCCAGACCTTGGTCCTGAAACCTGATCCCGGTCCTGACCTCCAAGACTAGTCCTGACTCCAGACCTTGATCCTGACCCCAAGGCCTGGTCCAGACTCCTGAGCCTCATCCTGAACCCTGAGCCTGGTCCTGACACAATACCCTGGTCCTGACCTCCTGTGCTGGACAGCTTTAGTATCAACTTGACACACTTGGGTTGAGGGAGCCTCAATTGGGGGACTGCCTGTATTGGACTGGCCTGTGGCCATGTCTGAGGAGCATCTAGATGAGTGATTGGGAGCGGGAAGCCCACTGTGGGTGATGCCACCCCTGGGCAGATGGGCCTGTGTTGCATAAGAAGCCAGGCTGAGCAGGGGCCAGAGGAGCAAGACAGTAAGCAGCGCTCCTCCATGGCCTGTGCTCCAACTCCTGTCTCGAAGTTCCTGCCCTCAGTTCCTACCTTGGGCTCCCTGATAAACTGTAACCCAGAAAATGTAAGACAAATAAACCCTTTCCTCCCAAGTTAGTACTGATCAGAGTATTTTGTCACAGCAATGGAGAAAAAAACTAAAAGACCTCCTGAGCTTGGTCCTGACCCAGGCCTGACCCTGGTCCAGACTCCTGAGCCTGAGCCTAAGCCCGGAGCCTGATCCTGACTCCTGATCCTGGTCCTGACTCCAGACCTTGGTCCTGAAACATGATCCTGGTCCTGACCTCTGTGCCTAGTCCTGACCCCAAGGCCTGGTCCTGACTCCTGAGCCTGATCCGGACCCCTGACCGTGGTCTTGACCCCTGATCCTGGTCCTGAACCCAGACCTTGATCCTGAAACCTGATCCTGGTCCTGACCTCTTCCTGACAACAAGGTCTGGTCCTGAACCCTCATCCTGATTCTGACCCAAGACCTTGGTACTGACCCCAGAGCTGGCCCTGACCCCACACCTTAGTACTGATCCCTGAAGCCTGGTCCTGACCCGAGCCTGGTCTTGACCCCTAGGCCTGATCCTGACTCCGTGAACCTGGTCCTGACCCCTGAGCCTGGTCCTGACCCCTGATCCTGGTCCTGAATCCAGACCTTGGTCCTAAAACGTGATTCTGGTCCTGACATCTGAGCCTGGTCCTGACCCCAGACCATGGTCCTGAAACTTGATCCTGGTCCTGACCTTCTAAGCCTGGTCCTGACTCCAGACCTTGGTCCTGACCCCTGATCCTGATCCTGACCCCTGACTCTGGTCCTGACCCCGGAGCCTGGTCCTGACACCAGAGCCTGGTCCTGACCCCAGACCTTGGTACTGACCACAGACCTTGGTCCTGACCCCAGAGCTGGCCCTGACCCCACACCTTGGTACTGACGCCTGATCCTGATCCTGACCCCTGAGTCTGGTTCTGACCCCTGAGCCTGGTCCTGACTCCTGAGCCTGGTCCTGAACCCTGAAACTAGTCCTGACCACTGATGCTGGTCCTAACTCCAGACCTTCATCCTGACCCCAAGGCCTGGTCCTGACCCCAGACCCTGGTCCTGACCCCGGAGTCGGGTCCTGACCTCCTGCACTGAATAGCTTTAGTGTCAACTTGACACACCTGGGTTGAGAGAGCCTCAATTGGGGGACTGCCTGTATTAGACTGGCCTGTGGCCATCTCTGAGGAGCATCCTGATGACTGATTGGGGCGGGTAGCCCACTGTGGGTGATGCCACCCCTTGGGAAGATGGGCCTGTGTTGCATAAGAAAGCAGGCTGAGCAGGGGAAAGCGGAGCAAGCCAGTAAGCAGTGCTCCTCCATGGCGTGTGCTCCATCTCCTATCTCCAGGTTCCTGCTCTTAGTTCCTACCTGGGGCTCCCTGATGAACTGTGACACAGAAGGTGTAAGACAAATAAACCCTTTCCTCCCCAAATTAGTACTGCTCAGGGTATTTTGTCACAGCAATGGCGAAACAAACTAAGAGACCTCCTGGGCCTGGTCCTGACCCCAGAGCCTAGATCTGATCCCAGACCTTGGTCCTGAAACCTAATCCTGGTCTTGACCTAGGAGCCTAGTCCTGACTCCAGACCTTCATCCTGATGCCAAAGCTTGTTCCTGACTCCTGAGGCTGATCCTCACCCCTGAGCCTGGTCCAAACCCCAGAGCCTGGTCCTGACCTCCTAAGCCTGGTACTGACTCCAGACCTTGGTCCTGACCCCAAGGCCTGATCATGACCCCTGACCCTGGTCCTGACCCCGGAGTCTGGTCCTGACCTCCTGAGCCTGATCCTGACCCCTAACCCTAGTCCAGACCCCTGAGCCTGGTCCTGACCCCAGAGCCTAGATCTGATTGCAGACGCTGGTCCTGAAGCCTGATCCTGGTCCTGAAACCTGTTTCTGCTCCTGACCTCGGAGCCTAGTCCTGACTCCAGACCTTGATCCTGACCCCAAAGCCTGTTCCTGATTCCTGAGCCTGTTCCTCACCCCTGAGCCTGGTCCAAACCCCAGAGCCTGGTCCTGACCTCCGGAGCCTAATCCTGACTCCTACCCTGGTCCAGACCCCTGACCCTGGTGCTAACCCGACCCTGGTCCAGAACACTGAACCTGGTCCAGACCCCTGATCCTGGTCTTGAACCCCAGACCTTGGTCTTGACTCCTGATCCTGGTCCTGGCTCCATAACTTGGTCCTGACCCCAAGGCCTGGTCCTGACTCCTTAGCCTGATCCTGAACCCTGAGCCTGATCCTGACCCCAGACCCTGGTCCTGACCCCAGAGTCTGGTCCTGGCCTCCTGTGCTAGATAGGTTTAGGGTCAACTTGACACATCTGGGTTCAGGGAGCCTCAATTGGGGGATTGCCTGTATTGGACTGTCCTGTGGCCAGGTCTGAGAAGCATCTTGATGAGTGATGGTTGGTGGGGGTGGCCCACTGTGGGTGATGCCACCCCTCGGCAGAAGGGCCTGTGTTGCATATGAAAGGAGGCAGAGCAGGGGACAGAGGAGCAAGTCAGTAAGCAGCGTCCCTCCATGACCTGTGCTCCAGCTCCTGCCTCCAGGATCCTGACCTGAGTTTCTACCTTGGGCTCCCTGATGAACTGTGACCCAGAAAATGTAAGACAAATAAACCCTTTCCCACTCAAGTTAGTAATGGTCAGAGTATTTTGTCACAGCAATGGAGAAACAAACTAAAAGACCTCCTGAGCCTGGTCCTGACCCAGGCCTGACCCTGGTCCAGACCTCTGACGGTGATCCTGACCCCTGAGCCTGGTCCTGACACCAGATTCTGGTCCTGACTCCAGATCTTGGTCCTGAAACCTGATCCTGGTCCTGACCTCTGAGTCTAGTCCCGACCTCAAGGCCTGGTCCTGACTCCTGAGCCTGATCGGAATCCTGACCCTGGTCCTGAACCCAGACCTTGGTCCTGAAACCTGATCCTGGTCCTGACCTCTCAGGCTGGTCCTGACAACAAGGTCTGGTCCTTAACTCTCATCGTGGTTCTGACCCAAGACCTTGGTACTGAGCCCAGACCTTGGTCCTGACCCCTGAGCCTGGTCCTGACCCGAGTCTGGTCTTGACCCCTAGGCCTGATCCTGACTCCGTGAACCTGGTCCTGACCTATGACCCTGATCCTGACCCCAGAACCTGGTTCTGACCCCTGAGCCTGGTCCTGACCCCTGATCCTGGTCCTGACGTCTAAGCCTGGTCCTGAAACTTGATCCTGGTCCTGACCTAAGC